TATTTCACTTTGACGGATTAATATGTAAGTAAGTTTATTTATGTTGTTCGTAATTTCTCTGTTCTCGCATATATACTTTCCTGTTCATTCAATGAATGGACATTTGTGTATATATTAGGGTGTGTCATTGTACACCGATACCCTTTTTTCAAGTACTATTGAAAAACTGATAGTAGACGATATAACAAAAATTTTCGTGCAAGACAAAAGTTATTATATCGATTACAGACTTGATTCATCGAAAAATACGATTTCCCGTACATGAAAATGGACTTTTAATTTCGTACAATATACGTACAAACACATAGTGATTACTCAAATAAAATTAAGTCAATATTACGTGTATAATATATTTAATAATTTTATATTTGATATATATAGAATCTGAATGATCTTATTTGTAAAAATTGCATTACTTCACCGCTTGGTCCTAAATGGGTCAAGCTAGCATTGACGAGATCATGAGTAAGAAAGGAGTGCATCGAAGGCCGACGTAAATTGCAAGAGCGTTAACGGTAACAGTGCAGCTGGACAGTCATTAAGCGATGTCGTCGCCCTTTAATGTCGGCTGGGCCACTTAAAAAGTAATTTGCCAACCGCATTCTGAAAGAGAACCTGAACGCTAATTGGAAACACTGGACGTCATCTGGCATCGAAATGGCTGAGCAGAAGAGGCTGATAAAAGTACGAGCATGGTCAGGGAAGGATCAAAGGTTAAATTGACTTCGCAGGATTCGCAGCCACGTAGAGGCAGATGTTTATTTAGTATTAGTTATTATCAGACCAGAAACTTTGTTCTCTTTCGTGTTCCCCTTAATTGTGGCAGCAGACAGTATCGAGCTTGGAGCGTAGGCGTCAAAGCTGAGCAGGCTTGCATTTGATCTTGGAAGACGGTGGAAAGGGAGGAAAGGAAGTGTACAAAGGAAGCCTTTCACATCTCTAAGAATTCTCGGAATCTTTGGATGTTTCAAGTACAGAAGCCTTCGATTAACTGAAAATTAAGGGTGTTACCGTATCGAGAGCAGCGATAGAAAATTACTAACAGAATATTTAGGGGATACGATATTATTTAATAGATTCTAAACTTATTGGAAAGCACTGCAATCGATTCAGGATTGAGATATTTCTATTGATGCTCACTCATCGAATATGAAGGAGTATTTGAAGAAAGCATCTTGCCACATTAAATATTTATTTCAGGGTCGCGATAGTAAACAAATTGTACTAGTCGTACTATATATTGCATCGAGGTGGTAAAAAATAAATCTTGAATTCCAGAAACGTCCAGTTTAGTTTTATCATTTTTGTCTGCAGATATTTTATACTGTTCACATATGCTCTGGGAAATCTAAACCATTATGGTCGACATGTATATCACAAATTTGTTAGATTTGCGTAAAAATTGGTATGTTATGGTTATTGCAGTTGCCGATTACAAATCTGGCATAAATGTCTCGAAATTCAAAATGGCGGATACAATATGACCGACATTTATTAGAAATGAATTAGATTTACGAGAATTGGTACATTATGGTTTCTGTGGTTGCTGATTATGAATCTGACATCAGAATTTCGAAATTTAAAATGGCAGATACAATATGGCCGACACATATATTAGTAATTTATTAAATTTGCGTAAAAATTGGTCCATTTCGGTTTTAGTAGTCGCTGATTATAAATATGACATCAGAATTTCAAAATTCAAAACGGCAGATACAATATGGCCGACATGTACAACATAAGTAATCTATTAGATTTGCGTGAACCGTGCCTAAGAGGTTAAATCGAATGATTTAATGGAAGGAACATATAGAAAAGATTACGACACGAGATGCATACCAATCTAAAGAACATAACACGATGTCACTCTTAGTCGTAATTTCACCTGTCCACGGTAGCTCAAAAAATCCCTGGTGATCCGAATTAACTTCCAGGTGAAACTTTTTCCACGTGTCACAGCGCTGTCGTTCCTTTCAGCGTTAATCGTTGGAAAATTAAATCTGTATACTCGGCGAGCATGCAACGACGTCGCCGATCCTACGCGGCGCATTCACGCTAATCTCGGTTCCGTTGACGGTGTGCGTGTTCTAAGACAATGCCTCCTTGGTTAGACGTGTGCACCTAGGTGTACACATTCAGGTACATTTAGCCGCATGGCTGGGTATCTGGCACGAACACATATGCCCGCTTAGATACGCGATATCATGCACGCCGTTAGGCCGAGTAGATCCACGCCTAATCTACCCCTTTGTGTGTCGTAGACAAAGGATCGCGGACGGGTGAAAGAGATCTCCGGAAAAGAAGCCCACCCCCGTTTCCGCGGAGGAGAATCTGGAGAATCCAAGAAGCACAAATGACGTGCAGTGTGTCCGTCGATACGAGTGATGCGCGTGTATGTATGTGTGTCCCGTGGTGGTATTCACGCTCCGACTACTGACATCAGATTGTTAATGTTTCTTCGAGACATGTGTTCTGCGATCATTTTTGATAAAGAGAGTCACTTCAGGAGACGCGACAAATAGGATGATTCTTACGGGAAATGGATTTGGGACTACAGTCTGTCTCACAAGAGCGTATTGGCTATATTTCTGTTAATATTTATATATTTATACAAAATGTTATATGGGCCAAGTCTACATCTAAAACACTAATACGCATTTACCTAGTAAGAGGTTCAATCTCCTCCATTATCGATTATAGCTTGGCATCATCTCGGTATGCTCTCTACTAATTTTTCGGCGTTATTTTGATGATACATTTCATGATGATCATTTTCATAAATGATCTCGTCGCGATAGAATGCGATCGACACGGATTCCCTAATGTACCGAAATGTTCTTGGACATGCACCTGAAAGCATCAATTCAATCAAACTATTACAGTTTCAGGACACGCGCATGAGTGATGGAACTGAGATTAGTATCATCAAAGTACCCACACTCGACACGCTGTGATCTTGTGGAAAGCCATTACGTGGATTGATGCCAGAAATAAATGTGTCACGGAACTACAGAGATCCATGGTTGTTGATTAATCTGTGCAAATTGTTAATAATTATCTTAATGGCGCCGCGGTACTGGAAACAATGTATAGGGTGTAAAAAAATTAATGGTCATCACTTTCTGGGGTTATTGTACACATCTGGATCGGTGGACATTTGCAAAAGAAACTATCGAAAATGGGTGTAATAAATGAGTCTTTTATTAATTTTAATGTCTACGTTTATTCAACGGCTCGAAAGGATGTGTTCACAGTTTAAGAAACGGACGAGAACTAAACCTGAAAACTCAGGCCTACGAGGAAGAGAAATCTAGCATCTACTTAAAGAAAGAAAATTCTGCCTGCGCTCTGTTTATTGCCCTGGCCTTCGACGACAAACAGTCGAGGGTCCTCAGACCTGGTGGTGCCAGTCCGATACTCTAACTTACAGAGAAAAGGGCAGTGTCTCTCAATGCTAGATTCATTTTTGTTGAACTCGAATCATATGTATATAATTCAACAGAAACCGTCCACAAAATCTCTTATGACCTCGAAATTTAAGATCAAAGTTTTTTTAATTTTAAAAAATTCTACTCGAGGAGTAGGTAAGAAGCCTCAAAGGAGCCACATATCGGAGACGAACCGTTTAATGTAATTTCGAATGAAAACTAGTCGTACTAAACTAATACTACTCAACTTATAACTAATTAACTCTAATTCTATTTAATTAATAAGAGTGAGAGGTCTAATGGTTTAAAGGTTAATATTTGTCCATACTTTGATGGTTTCGTCTTTTTCTTTTTTGTCTCGACATATTATGGTAGATAGACGAAGAGACAAACAAAGTTAATTAAGTCGTGGTCAACGCACTTATGGCAGGATACATTTATGATGGAAAATGCACAGCCATGGCACTACGCAAGCACTGACCTACTACTTTAAGATGCGCGTACTGATTATATTATTGAAATTAGTGACGAAAAAGGTTGTCAAAGCACCGGGCACTCTAACGACCAAACCATTTAACAGGTTAATTAAACGACTCCTTGATTGACTCTGAAACCACGTCGTTTCCTGACGCAAGAGAACCATCGATGCATCGTTAAAACGATAATGATTGCAAAATCGTTTAAGTACGATTTAATTTTAGAAGATAATGCATTTACCGCCTTTATCTAACAGTTGGGATTAGCCAAAATAAATATACAGTCAGTATACCTAATAAGAATTCGTACGGGAACCAATTCAAAATATAACTTCATATATTTATTTTATTAATCAATTTGAGAAGAAGAAATAATTAACCAGCATTCCTACATATTTTTAGAGTAGAATTTGCTTCATTGAAGTTTATTATTTTTAACGTTAACCTCTTATTTCTCTTCTTATTAATTTCATTTTAAATTTGTTACTGGACGACTATTTCCTACACTAACTCTATTATGAAATAGAAAAGATTCAGAAATTAAAATCGAATGTAGGCTCGTTAATTAGATAGGAAATATCCTAGACAGGGATTAGATATCAATTTTAGAGCAATCAATTTAGAAATTAAACATTTTGATAATAAATTTATCATTATATTAGAATAGTTACATTCCAAAGGATAAGTTCAATTTGACATTTATCTATATCGATTCTTTTTTTTAAATTACATTTTTAACAAAAGTATTAAAAAAGAAAAAAAATGTCTGCATACATTCTATGAAACGAATTCAACTTCTACCGTGGATTTTACTTCTCATACCTTCGCTGGAAAGAAAATTAATTAATACCAATGGACAATCCCACATAAGATACAATACAAATTGTTACTCTAATTATTTAAATTGATCAGAGCCGCTCGCGGAACTCTTACACTCGCATCAGTAATTGCAACTTTACACACTTCCTGTGCAACGAATTGTAACACTCTTGCTTAGCCTCTATCCACGTCGAATTCGTTGCTAATTATTTTTTAACGTTCGACGTGTGACCAAACGACTAGGAGGCTCCGACGACAAAAACTGAGTGAAATTTACCTTCGAGCCGTGGGAACGTCCTCGGTTCACAGCTTCCGATTCAGCTAGATGATCGACTTCCGCTCGCTATTCATCAGCTCTCGTTTTCTATACCAGAAGACAATCTCTCACGAAGTCATCGGGTTCAGGCGAATAACCGTGAAAGTTTTGGGAATCGAGCCGGAAAACTGTTACCCGCGTAGACGCTCACGCCTCGATGACACTGAAAGTAAAAAAAGAACGAGCTGGTAACACTATCCGAGGGATTAAAGTTTCTTCTTACGCAATTCCGAACGATTTTTAATGTTTCCTTTCCATTTCCCTTTTAATTCTGTTATAATTTTAAATAGCATTAGCGTTGAAATATCATAATGAGGAATCAAATGTACACATAATAAAACGATTTTGTGTACAGCACACACCGACTACCACACAAAGACAGAAATGCTCACACAAAATTATTATATTGACAGAGGTAATGAAGTGTATTTGTAATTAAATATTTGCTTCGAAATAATAAAGCAGAGTAATAATGATCAAATCAGATGGAAATTCACGCCACAACCACAGGCTTTGTGCCTATGGTAAATACAGCTTATTAATAATGATATAGGGTAATAGAAAAACTGTTTACATTAAGATGGCAACTTTTGATGTTTAATTCTTTCTGTTTTTATTCATCTCTGTTTTGTCCCTAACTTAAATATATACAACACACGTGACTTCGTTCATGGAATCTCAATTTTATACAACAATTTGTTTGTACATTTCGTACATATTATTGTTTTATAATTTTCAACCTCCTCAAAATTTAATATCTTCATTTTTAACGTTTCCTCAATTTCTATTAACGAGCTGACGAAAATAATAAAATTCTGAAGCTGGACATCGAAGATTTATATCGTTAGGGCGAAGATAAAAATGCTGTAAATATGTAGCGTATAAAATGAAAAGATTTTTATAATTTTTTCATAATCAGCGATCCCGAACGTGTTAATTCGTTACTGTATTATGTACTATAAGCAAACGTCAAAATGCTTCAAATAAATTGCTCGGACTATCGTTGTCTCTTTTATTTAATTATATTATTTCGCGAATATTACAGTGAATTTCTTTACTTTGCTATTTATTTGATCAAAAATGCGAGCAACGTACGTTCACTCAATCGTCGCCAATTCCCTTTCGTACCAAAAACGTTGAAAGACTTTCAGATATATCACGCTCTCCTTTCGTCGGCGACTGACAAGTAGTATTGGCCCGTGCGTGGTCAGACGAGCTACCGCGCGAAGTTCCTTTCTCAGCGAAAACGAAACTATATTTCTGAATTTCCCGACGTCGCGCCGCGAGGGGAACGAAGCAAAATGTTCAACTGAAAAGTATAAACTGTGAAAGTGAGGAAGGATGTTCGCAATTTAATAACATACTTTCGCGTAAAAATTGCCGTATTCGTGTAATTAATAACGCAGCTCGGCATCAGCAAAAGTCCAATATACGAGAAACGAAAGAAGAAGGAACAATTACGCGGAGTAACGATACTTCCCCATCGACAAAGAAAACGCCACAGCTGTTCGTTTCCGCAAAGCTGTTGCTTGAAATAACTGCACAAGCACCGGACTTCGTGGCGATATTCATTTTCTTGAGTTTCAACGCTTCTCCCGTATCTCATACGTGTTAGAAACCGCGCGAGGCAATTTACGAAATTACGGGAAAACTAATACGCGGGTCAACGTGCCCATTCGAGAACAAAATATAAATAGTCGTACATTCTGTCGAATAAGTACCGAGAATTGTTCATTTAAATTCACCGCGTAAACCATACGAAAAATAACTTTTTGCTGTAAGTTTGTTACAATGTATCTATTTGTCACGTAGAAATTTAGCGTCATATGTTAAGTACGTAGTTTATCTGCAGCTGTTAATTAGTCAACGTCAAGTGTGCTCTGCGATTTTTAAAATGTCTTAGAAATATATTATTAATATTTATTTATTAAATTATACAATATAGAATGTATCCATAACATAAGGAAAAATAAATTATATCACAAAAGAATAAAGAGCTTTCTTGGAAATATAAAATAATATTAAGATGCACACGAAATTTTGGAATTATAAAAAAAAACACATCGGGCCCCTTTCCCATACACGTCCTCCAGAAAATAGTGGCGCGAAACTTTAAATTTACTTTATTTCTCTAACAAAATGGATAAGAATATCGAACAAAGAATTGTTAATATGTTAACACAAAAAGAATTGATAAATTACCATTTTTTAGATGTGTCGAGTACATCAAAGCCATAAAACATAATTTCCTGAAGGAGTTGAAGGGTATATCGAAAAGTGCCAATAAAAAGTGTTTCGAAATCTGTATTATTCATTGAAGTAAGTGTATCGCATTAAATGAATCCTATTTCCAAGTCGACAAAATAAATTTGAATAATTGAACTAATATTTAGTGATTTATCAAATAATTCCTGCTATTTATTTGATAGAATATATTTAGAATAATTGTAATATTTTGCAGGTAATACCTTAGCGTACCTAAATCAAATCAGTGGTAACAGTGTTACCATTAATTTGTTTTAATTTCCAGAATTGATATAATCAAGATGACCGCTGCATAACGAAGAAAAACAAGGATACATTTTTCTCATTGAGTTGTTTGTTGGCCAGGAAATAAAAATTAGTGGGCAGTGCTCATTGTCAGACGACAAGAAAACAAATAACAATTACAGGTGCGTTGACTCGCGATCTCTGATAAGAACGACAAAAATGGCACCCTCGCTGCTAACTGCGGAGATAAAGCGAGAATTCTATTAGCGAGGGCTTAATAGTTCTGACGTGCTGTAATTCCGCTTTCAATTTCAATTTTAATTTTACGTCTGCTAACTCACGACTATTTATCAAGTCTGCGTGGCCACGTTAACTACATTCTGCCGTAACTTCTCCTTTTCAATTCGAAGAAGACATTTGTTTTGAAGAGTAACGATAATGACGTACTATATTAAACGTGTTTCCCGAGGGGAAGAACAAAGAAAAAAATTGCTCGAGAAAGCATTCAGATGTTTTTTCACAAATGAAATGAGCTTGTAGATCTTCTAAATAATGTCACAGGAATGATAAGGAAAACAAGAAAAAGCAAAGCGAGAAAACTTGAAGCTAACACTAAATTCGCCACTGTAGCGTTGTTTGTAATGTACTTTGTACACTGTACAAAAATGTTGAGAAAATTTTTCAACAATTTTTCAACAATTTTGAAAATTTCTATTTAACTTCTTTACAGCCGGACACTTACCACGAGACCCTCCAAATGTTATTCCAACCGCTATACATCCCACCCTTTAATGGCTAAATGCATATTTGACTAAATCAACAAGTCGATGCATGAATACTAGACATGGACGATTAGAATAAATGTTCACGTTACATCCATGTGATTTAAAATAATCGTTAATTAAATTTTTAGTTGTAAATTATAAAACATTCCCAGCCTTTCTCGCGGTAGTGTCCAAGAAAAAACTAGGTCTAAACATTCTCAGACAGTATTTCCGAGTAGACAGAGTATGCATTAACAAGTTTATAATATTCCCCACCATGTGACTGAAAATTACCATCAATTGAATGTTTAGTTGTAAATTCTAAAATATTGTTATTTGCAGCCTCTCGCGTGATAGTTGTCCAACGAAAAACTAGGTTTAAACTTACCCAGACAGTAGTCTACTGAAGTAATTGATGCGACGTTAAACATCCAAGAAAGAAAAAAAGATTTACATGTCATTTTTATTACTTTAAACAATAAACGTTGATCTTTATTATTTTATAGTTGAAGCATTTCTATCAACATTTAAAAATTCACTTTCCTTCAGTCATAGCGTGTAAAATCGTAATATAGAAAAATAAACGGCGCCTACAGCGATTTTATTTCGACCAAGAATATTGAACGGAATATTAATTCGAGTAAACATTCGGTCCAATTTTCAAAATTAATTAAACTCGTATTTACCGATTTGTATCAATCAATATCTTACAAAAAAAAAACACAGCTCGCGAGCAAACAGACGGATTGAAATCTCTTCCAAACGAGTATCGAAACGAGTAATCGAATGATCCACATTTTATCCGCCCGCCAAGTTTCGCCCGCGCGTTTTTAGCCGCGCGTGCACATATCCATCGTTGCGTCGATGATTAATTACAATTCGTATGTAACGATTCAACCGTTCAGAAAATCCGGGAATATTTCCCCAGCTGTTTCTCCATTCCATATTTCCGCAATTACTCTTCTTCCTCGAAATTAACGCGACCGGGAACCAGGACTCTGGAAACGGGGACGTGACGCGAAGCGGACGAAGGAAAACTTGAACATTTTAAACACAGCGAACTAAACTCTTAATGAAAAGTTTTGCACGTGGTAAAATGAATTTATGAAGACTCATCGACGAACAATTTACTAAAGAGGTTTCTTCGTTGCGAACACGTGAAATAATGACGAAAGTTGAAAGATTTTCATCGTTGTTTCAACTATTAATTGCAAGAGATGCAACTTTTATGCTTTACTAAAAGCTGTTAATACTTCGTTAATATTTTTATATAAACAGAGACACTGTGTAATTTTTCAAAGTCTATGAATGGTAAGGTAATTTACAGTGAGACTTCTTTCGGTTAACATTGGTACGACAATAAGGTAATCTGAATCTATTGGATGTATAAATTAATTCGGGGTCTTTAACTTCCACCGACTATAAGATCAACTTGAATGTTAATTTGTTTTCCGCCACTCGTTTATTTTCAAGTGCGATCTGTTACATTCAAACCCAGTTAACGGGCTTTATCTTATTATGAACATAACTTACAAAAGTAACTGTAAACACGATGGCGTTCACATTGAGTTGCGATTGAGATTATTTTAGAGTTTAGGTATAAATTAGTTTTTTTTTTATGAATAATTATCGAATTCAATCGAAAAAGATCTAGAATTAATGTATGGACCTAATAAATCAATTTCAAACTTCTCTACTATTTAAAGTACTAGTTACAAAACTCTCGTGGACTGTTCCCACTCAATGTAATGGAGAATACCCTGTTTAGGGATGCAAATGAGTTAAATAAGCGCAACTTGCAGAGATTCAGCGAGTATAAAACGTTGCGAGTCTCGATGAACGCGAGGTAAAGGGTTGGAAGAAGAGGCCGCGTGGTCGCAGTCATTGTGACTGCATGTCAGGGACAGAA